TTTGCAACCAAAGACCCGAAAATATGCAATGTTGGGCTTTCTACCATTCAAGAGCTCATATGGTGTCTTCTCTTTCAATGGGTGACAATAGAGGTGGTTGCTACAATAGCAGGACGTGTTGATAGCTTTGGCCCAAAAAGCTTGACTCACATTATACTCACTAAGCATAGACCTTGCCATATCAATGGGTGTTCTATTCTTCCTCTCAACAAGCCATTTGATTGTGGAGTGTACTTGGCCGAGAATTGATGTCTAATTCTAAATTCATCACACAACTCATCAATTCTAGTGTTCTTGAACTCACTACCATTGTCACTTCTAACTCTCTTGATGGTTGTTTCAAACTCATTATGAATGTCCTTGACAAATAATTTGAATGTTGCAAACACATCACTTTTGTCCACTAGAAAGAATACCCTAGTGTATCTAGTATAATTATCCACTATCACAAAGCCATATTTGTTTCCACCAATGCTAGTGTATTGTGTTGGCCCAAACAAATCCATGTGCAATAACTCAAATGCTTTACTAGTGCTCATCATGCTTTTCTTAGGATGGGTGTTTCCAACTTGTTTTCCAGCTTGACAAGAGCTACAAAGCTTACCTTTTCAAACACAACATCTTTCAAGCCTTTAACCAAGTCATGCTTGACCAATCTATTTAATTGTTTCATTCCAACATGACCAAGCCTTCTATGCCATAACCAACCCATGCTAGACTTAGTGAACAAACATGTAGATAATTGAGCTTCACTAGCATTGAAATCAACCAAGTATAGATTCTCATATCTAAAACCCTTGAAGATCAAGTTAGAGCCATCTACACTTATGATCTCTACATCATCTACCAAAATATGCATTTGAATCCAAGATCATACAATTGAGCCACGGATAGCAAATTGAAGTTCAAGCTCTCTACTAGCAACACATTAGATATGCTCATGTCATTGGATATTGCAATCCTACCAAGCCCCTTGACCTTGCATTTGCCATTATCACCAAATGTGATACTATCATAACCATCATTGCCATTGGTATTGATTGAGTAGAACATTCTTGCATCACCGGTCATGTGTTGAGTGCACCCACTATCAAGAACCCAATGCCTTCCTCTGGCTTTGTAATTGACCTACAAAAAAAGATAAATTCTTTTTAGGTACCTAAACTTGCTTGGGTCCTTGAAGGTTAGTGACCAAGTTCTTTGGCACCCAAATGGCTTTCTTCTTTGAGCCCATCCATGGTGTGCCGATGAACTTAGATTTCACACCATTTGTACCCTTAGTAAGCACATAGAAAGAATTAATCTTAATGAAGGATACATTAGCTTGTGACTTCTTGTTCATACACTTTTGCTCTACACGACCAACTTGCTTGCAACTAGTGCAAAACCGACCATTGTTTTTCACAAAACTAGTCTTGTGAGGAGCAAATGTCGCCTTGCCTTTCTTGGGGGTATATCCCTCTTTGGCTACCCAAGCACATAAGCAAGCGGTCCTCACCGCCATAGGCCTTAGCCAAGGTGTGAGTGAGCTCATTGACCTCCTTCTTGAGAGTCTCATTCTCAACCATTAGTGAGGCATCACAAGTGAAACCATCACTACTAAATGAGGTGGAAGTAGAAGTGCTACAAGAAGGGTTAGTGGGAGCAACAATGATAGACATAGATAATGATTCATCAATTAGATCACAAGTTAAGCCTACATTACAAGTCTCAACATGCTTGTTCTTATTTTGTTCATTAAGCAAAGAAGAATGAGCTTTTTCAAGCTTCTTGTGAGCCCTGTCAAGCTTCTCATGGGCTTCCATTAGCTTCTCATGAGTTGCTTTGAGCTCATCAAGGGCTTGCTTAAGGGCTTTTACTTCCTTATTCAAGCTCTTGCATTCCCTTCTCTTAATGTCAAAGTGTTCTTTAGCATCTTCTAACATGTAAAATAATTCATCTTTAGTTGGTTTATTATCATCACTATCACTATCATTTTCATTGTCATGTTCCTCATCACTTCCATCATCATAAGTTTGTACCTTAGTGGCCTTAGCCATGAAGCATGATGGAGTGTCGAAGAGAGAAGGCTTCTCATTTATAGCAATGCTTGCAAGTGCCTTCTTCTTGGTGGTCTTGTTATCATCACTATCATCATCATCATCACTTGAGGAAGCATCACTATCCTAAGTGACCACATATGAACCACCTTCTTCTTCTTGAAGGTCATCTTGTCCTTCTTCTCTTTCTTTTTCTTCTTGTCCTTCTTCTTGTTCTTCTTGTCATCATCTTTGTCACTATTGTATAGACATTGAGCAACAAGATGATCTTTGCTTCCATAATTGAAGCATCTTCTTGACTCTTCCTTGTTCTTGGATGAAGATTTCTTCCTTTTAGCATGGTAGCCTTTCTTCATCATGAACTTGCCAAATCTCTTGTCAAAGAGAGCCATCTTCTCATCATCATCATCATCATCCCATGAGCCATCATCTTCACTTGATGTATCTTGCTTTGCCTTGCCCTTGAATGATGTAGCCTTGAATGCCACGCTCTTCTTCTTCTCATCCTCCTTCTCATCGTTCTTCTCCTTCTTTTCTTCCTTCTCATCATCATCTCTATATGTATCATCGGTCATTATATCTCCCAACACTTGGTTTGGTGTCATGGTGTCCAAACCACTCCTTACTAGAATAGTGACCAATGTGCCAAATCTTGAAGGCAAGCATCTCAAGAACTTGTGGGAGAAGTCCTTGTCCTTCACCTCTTCTCCAAGCACTTTGAGATCGCGCAATGTGTTGGTTGAGCACGAGGATCAAAGTCAACGATGGAAAGAAATCAAACAGCCACGAGCGCATCCACGCAAGTACATGACAAACGGAGGTTAAATAATGAAAAGGGGTGGACTGGCGGAGGGTACGTCTCACCTAGGTCCAGCTGGGGCGGCGGTCGGACGGTGGCGGCGGCGTGTGGCGGCTTCCGGCCAAAGTGCGCAAAGAACAAATGCTGCTGTCGCTGGCCGCCCATGCTTGGCGCTTCCATTATCATATATATCAAATATCAAACGGAAACTAAATTACACCAAGTGGAGAGAATATGGCCCACTTGCGCGTCAACTTTTTTTTTACTTCCAACGATTAAAAATATGTGTCTATTAGAATATCAGATGGCAATTTGACTAACGGTGTGTAAAAATATACACTCTCCCCCGAAATGATAAGCGTATTTGGTGACAAAAAAAATCGACCTTCATATTTTTAACCAATAATTATTTAATTATATATAGATTTACGACATAAAATATATGTTTATAGATTTGTATTCAATGTAGCTGAAAAATGAGATTAGTTCTTTAGCAAACAACATTATACGTAATAGAAATTAAGGTTCAATATTTATTTTTTATTTTCACTTATTAAAATATGTTTTGTGGAACATAGTAAATATTGTATTTTATATAAAAAAGTATTTTATTGGATTTTAGGACAATTTAATATGTTTGTCTTGCCTATTGAATGAAGGAAAGTAGAATAATCTCTACTAAATGGTTTTAAGATATACACAAAAGGTATTTCACATATTATCCTAAAAAAAAAAACATTTCATGAGAGAATCTAAATCGGTTTTTCAAAAATATTTGTCCAACAAACTAGAACCCCACTAAACTAAACTTATTTCTTCATGTCACGTGGGCAACCTGTCCATTTGTAGCACATATACAGGTCGCACCGTTAGAGAAGTACTTTTTGTGATGTTTTAAAATCCACCACACACTAAGGGCGTGTTTGGTTTGAGCACAGCGTCCCCACACGTTCGATTTCAATTGCCTGGGGCTGGGATTGCTGCTTGACCGACAAGCTGTCTGTTAGCTCGCTATCCAAACAGGCCCTAAGAGCATGTTTGCTTTTGAGGCTGGTGCCAATTTTGAACGTGTAGGTCGGATGAACCTGTCTTGCCATTCAAACCAAAATATCCCTAATTAAGAAAGGTGCTAGGATGATGACCATACTCAAGGCTCACAAACCATGATGTGAAAGAAATAGCAAGCCACATATAAAAAGAGAACAATATACGTAGTTAGAGCATCTCCAACAACTCCCTATATTTTACTTGGTATATCTTGTGTTTTAGCAACTTGGTATTTTGTTTGGCAAGTGAAAAAATCACCTCTCTCCAACAATTTGGTATCAACTTGGTAAATCAAAAAAAAACAGGCCCACCTAGTAGCGTGACTTTTCCGTGCCCTCTGGCCGCCGCGACTATTCCCCTGCCTCTCGCCGCGCGACTTGTTCTTGTCGCGTAGACAGGACGCCGCGCCGCCGCCCATTCATCTCCTCGGCGCTTCTCCATGGATGTGATAGCAGCATGGTCAATGAATGAATGTGTGCTGTTGGTGCGTGGCGTCAGTGTACTGTTGGTGCGTGGCGTCAGTGCTGATGGGACTAGTGCACTGTTGGTGCGTGGCGTCAGTGCTGCTCCACAGATTTGCCGGCCACCAACAGAGAAAGGACAAAGCACAGTACCTGTACATTGCACCGGCAACTGCGCTGCTGCTGCTGCTAACTGGATTTGCCGGCCACTGAATGCAGGTATTACGTACATGATTTGCAAATGATCAGAGACAGCACACAGCAGGCAGCATAAAATGATGGCCATCAGGTTTTGCCATGTAAACTTCTGATAAAATATTTCAGAGCTGATACAATATGAGTTTAACAACTAAACTATAAACGGCACAGTAGCTCGTAGTTCCAAATTTAATACTGAATAAACTTAAACAACATAGCTCATAGTTCAACAACTAAATATTTGGAGTAAGCTTCGCGAGAATCTGCTCTTGCATTATCTCAAGCCACTGACGCTGCTTCGGATTGAGAGACGTCATGTCCGCTAACATAATTTTATTCTGTTCTTTCATCAAGTCGGTTTCAGCTTTTTTGCTTCATTGTCCACCCTCTTCTTCTCTAGCTCTAGTGTAGCCTTCTCTATCTCTAGTGTAGCCATGAACCTGTCCTCTTTATAGGTCACATCTTGTCCAATGCTTCCATGCAAGCTTCACCACCTCCTCGCTTAAGATTTGCTTTTACCTGATCAATAATCAATGCTTTAGTACAGTCAATAAAAAAAATTGTACAACTAATATAAAACTCTTTGCCACTTAAAATTTGTACCTTCTTTATCCCATCGGACCTCTTCCTTGGTTCGGTTTCTTCAGCTTCAATAGGTATGCCATTGTCATTATTTAAGGCTCCTTCATCCCTTGGCCTTGACACCTTTTCGGCCTTCTTTTGCTTCTTGCTTTTTGCTAGTTTCTCAACCTCTGCAATTTCTACCATCTTGGATTTCCACTTGTCCTCCTCCTTGAGTATGTCCCAAACCAATGCTCAAAAACAAAAGATTTGTTGTCCCCTGTCTAAGTTTTTGTAGACCTTTTTTGCTTCATTAAGTGCATAGAAATACCATCAAAGTATATACATTTTAAAAGTGAAGTTCAAATAAAGCATTCAAAATAAATTGCATACCTTATCTTGCATAGTTGTGCCACTTTGATTCCTACGTAGAATTTGATCATAGTGTGAACAAAACTTGTTCACACTAGTTTGAATTACCGAAACCGATGCATAATGGAACTCTCCGAGCGAGGAACTTTAGATTTGTTGTGTTCCTCGAAATAAGCATGAACTTTGCCCCAAAATGTAGACGAGATTGATCGTTAATGGGATCCTTGCTAATAGCCAACCATCCAAAGCAAACAATTTCATCCTCTTGGGAGTAAAATTTTTGGACCTCTTTCCTCCTTCGTGCTCGAGCTTATGCACTACTTCAACACTACTAGGATGCGAATGTCATCGCTCACGGCACAGAACAGGAGCCCCATGTCCTTCGAGAAGGATGTTGCTCAAGAAACCATCTTCTTCCATTCTAAAATGAGTATAGAACAAATGAACCCATATGAACCCATGAACAAACTGAACCTAAACCCGATCCATGGTCTACGAACGAGTTGAGGAGGATAGTTCAGGACAATACTGATCGATGGCCGGCAAAACTTGGCGGAAGAGATTGCTTGCAGCAGAACCTTGGTGGAAACACATGCTACCACTTGACGAAGCGAATGTGGCTTGGCCGTGCGCGTAACAGAGGAGAAGACGGGCGGGGAGATCTTTGACTTGAAAGGGAGATGGATCGCTCTGGATCGGCGGGGAAGATCTACTGCTGTGGAGGGGAGGGACTCAGCGCACTGCCAAATCGGCGTCTGAAGAAGCCACATGAACAATACGCTGTGAGGAAGGAATTTGGCAAGTTGGGAAAAAATAGGAAGTGAATATAGGGAGTTGTTGGAGAGGAGTTTTTGAGTTTTTTGCAAAATTATAAGAATAGCAAGTCAATATAAGGAGTTGTTGGAGATGCTCTGCAGTGGAACTCAAACTATGTCAGCATTGGTTAGTAGTTAGATATTGAAGCTATGAAGCTCTCTATAGGTCAGCCCTCGGTACTTAAGACATGTTTGGATACCAATGGCTAATCACTATCCAGCTAAAAATTATTGTCTAAAATTAGCCCTAGCCTATCAAACATGGGCTAATAGGCAAGTTTATTTATTAATCGGCCACTAATTAGTTATGAGCCAACTAGCAAAACTTAACTAACTTTTAGACTAATTTTTAGCTTAGGTAATAACTAATCCCAGCTTATCCAACGGGCCCTTGTATAAAACTGTCCAGCATGTTTATCCGTTGAAAATTGAAATTGACGAATCGTTGGGTCACAAGTCACAATCGAGCATGGAGAAGATGCTTGTCGCCGCAGTTTCCACGCCCTTTCCATGAATATATGAACTGTAGTACTACACATGCATATGTCATGCTACCACTTGACTTGACGTCGACCTCACAAAACTACTGGGACCCACTCATCATTGGCTGGGTGTGCAAGACTGAGGCCTTAATTAGTTTCTCCTCTAAAGTTTACTCTCTATCACATCGAATGTTTGACACATACAAAGAGTATTAAATATAGACTAAAAATAACTAATTGCACATTTTACGACTAATTTGCGAGACATATCTTTGAAGCCTAATTAATCCATGATTTGACGATGTGGTGCTACAGTAACACATGCGTTAATGATGGATTAATTAGGCTTAATAAATTCGTCTCGCGGTTTAGTAACGGATTCTATAATTTATTTTTTATTAGTATCCTAACATCCTCGTGTAACACCCAACTTGACATTCAAAACTTTACACCTAGAACTAGACAAATCCTCGTATATGAATAGTACTGCACATGCAAATGCCACGGTACCACTCGACGTGACGTCGACCTCACAAAAGCTCTACCGGGACCCACTCATCATTGGCTGGGTGCAAGATTGAGACTGCATGCAGGCAAGATCCAGGAGGCCTCGGAGGGTCAATTCAGACAAGTCACATCGGGATGCCGCTCGTGCTGCTGAGTACAGAATCGCTGCCAATCTGAAACAGCATGAAAGAACGAAGCTTCCAAGAAACAGCTTTTGTCGTCTACAACCAAGTCATTTCTTTTTCCAATAGGAAAGAGGCACGAGCAGATGCAGCCACTGTTTCTGTTTTCTAGGTACAATAGCACAAATCGGCTCAATGTAATAGGCTTTTTTTTGGGGGGGACTTTGGATACCCAATGGATCTTGCAATCTGATTTTTAAAAGCTACTCCCTCCGTCTCAAAATGCATGACGCTTTTGATTTTTAGATATCATGTTTGATCATCTGTCTTATTCAAATTTATTTTACAAATAATAATAAAATAAATAAGTCACTATTAAAGTAATTGTAATGATAGAATAAGTCATAACAAAATAAATAATATTTATAGTAAAAATTTAGATAAGACGAACAGTCAAACAAAATGTAAAGTTAAAAACGTCATCTATTCTGGGACAGAGGAAGTAGATAATAGAAGTTAAGTTGTGAGGTCATTTGGATCCATGGATCTAAGTTGTGGGGCTATTTAGATCCAACGATCATGGATTATAAAAGCTAGGGACACTTTTTAGAGTAACATTACCATAATGGCTTAACTCTTTGATTTTTATGTTGTAGCTATGAAGAAACAGAGGGACAGAATAGTCTTTGGTGTTTAGAAGCTAGGTTCCCCAAGCTTACCAGATTAGGGGATTTTGGGGTCTTTCCGAAAGCTAGCTAGAAGCTACGGTTGCTCAGACCTCTACTTAGATTCTAGAAGCCAACTTCTACAATCTTCCAAGAAACAGCTTTTGTCGGTCCCTTTCTCACTTATCAAGGAGTCAACCAATTTAAGCTTTGACTGAAGTTATATTAAAAATATTAATATTTTTTGTACAAAATAAGTATCATTAGATTAATTATAGAATATATTTTCATTGTGAATTTATTTGAAGACATGAATGCTAATAATATTTACTATAAACTTGGTCAAAGTTGAGCAAAGTTGACCGGCATGGATCCCATAATTGCATTCTTTTTGTGGACGGAGGGAGTACGAGTAGATGGAGCGAATGTTTCAATTTTCTATGCACTGTAGCACAAACCGGATTGGCTCAATGGCCCCGGATCGGCTCAATGGCCCCGTTCGGCTTGCTGAAACTTGACTGAAAAACACTGTTCTGGCTGAATTGTTGTGAGAGAAAAGCACTGTTCCGGCTGAAAAAACAAACCGAGCAAGCCGGTTTCTGGGTAAGCCGAACGGGGCCAATGTAAGTGTCCTAGAAGGGTGTTTGGATATTGGCCACAGCCCACAGCTGGCCATGCCCAAACTGCGGCAAGTCGGTGCTATTTTTTGCCGCAACACTTCATGGCGGGATTTGCTCTTTGAGATTGTATGGCCGTCTTGTTTCGGTCGTCAACCAAACAGGGACTTCGATTTTTGTGGCTCGCCACAACGTGCGGTGTAATGGACTGAGGCCGCAAACCAAATAGCCCCTTTTTAGAACTTTGGATACCCATGGATCGTGAAATCCGATTTTTGAAAGCTAAACAATAGTAGCTGAGCTGCGAGGCTGTTTGGATCCATCGATCATGGATTATAAAAGTCAAGGATAACTTTTTAGAGTAACATTACCCTAATGTCTCAACTCTTTAAGTTGAGAGCTCTCAAGTTTAAAGGAGGGATCAAACAGGCCCATAGTATATTGATAAATAAAGGAGTTTTTGCAATTTTTTTCAATCAGAATTTTTGCAAATTAGACGGCCCTGCCTAGGAACAAAGGACAAGGAAAAAATTGTACATAGAGCACTTTACACACTGTAGCCACCCATGCGGCCAAAAAATTGTGCAACTAGTTCCCAACCTATTGACTCTTCTTTGATCTTTTTACGGACCTATCTCCAAATTAAAGCAGATATTTTCTGTTTGTTAGTTAGAAGGTGGGCGCATTTGTTTTCTTTCCAGATTTCCCAGTTGACTAGTAACAGAGCAGCGAACTGAGACCCTTCTTCGTAGGTAGGGTAGGTGTAGTACCTACTAGTAGGAGTGAGGACGACACGTGAAAGACGAAAAAAATATGCATGGCACAAGAACTGAAAGTCTGAAACCATGGCGAGATGGTTGGGCTGAATAAGCAGGCTAAAGGTCGATCATTGACGTCTTGGGCCCTTGGCCCACCAGTTCCAAATTCCAATATGGCGTCGTCCTCGTCAGCTGCTGAGCTGCTGCAGAATTGAATCCTTCAACTCGGCATCGTCCGGTTCCAATATGACTTCATAAAGTTTTGCGCAAGCTGAAAGGGAAAAAAAAGAACAAAGTTGGTCCTCTTTAGAAACTTCATAGAGTTGTTACTAGCTGGAGATCTCGGACATTCAGAAGAGCAGAATGAACTGACTGAAACGCCTGCCTTGTGAACAGTGCAACTGAATGTGTAATACTTCATCTGTTCTAAATTATAAGTCATCTTGATTTTTTTTGTTCATTCATTTTGATATGTTGACATATTATTATATGTAAATGGATAAGAAAATGAATGTACAAAAAACGTCAAATCGACTTATAATTTGGAACGGATGAAGTTGGTTGTAGCATGAAGCAGACAAGAGACTAGCTCGACGTCACGTTGACAACATTGGAACAATTTCACTGTTGCAAGAAGGGATATGGCATTGGATGTCAGTATGAATAATTCAGGGAATCGATGTTCCACAAAAAAATGTTGCCGCAGCACGAGAAAAGTAAAATAATGCATAGTAGCCAACCAAGGTATAAGAATGCAGAGCAACACTGTGACAATGCTATCACAGAATGTGAAGCAATTATAACATTTACCCTGTTCGCTTGATCGTTTCTATGGTTTATAAGTCGACTGATGCTGTTTTATTGTGAGA